TAAAGTTAAATTAGGAATTAATGTGCAGATTTCTATTTAAAGAGTAATGTCTTCAATCTCTCGTGAAAATGAATGCAGGTGTTACGCACAAAGTAAATAGATGACATGATTCAACGAAACTAAAAGCACAGCAATGAATAATAATAGGGCAATAATTTACACGTTATTCGTAACGATAAACGGTAACGCAGTATTGTACCTATCTACAACTGCCAAAAGAAAACTGCAGCGGACATTGTACGGAAGTTGGATCGCCATCGTGCAGCGTGAAGCAACCTGAAATCTGCATACGATCGATCACGCGCTTACACGCGTCGATTGTTTCTCACTTCCAAGTATAATGGCTGCGTTCGAATGAGACGCAAATCTTCACTTTCCTCCCGTCGCACACCAAGCGCAAGCTGGCCCCGGGCTTGTCCAAAATTCTAGTGCTCGCAGCCGCTTCAAATGACCGAACGGATTCGCCTTTGTCGTTAGAAGTATCAATGTAGCAGTGAGGCGCGAATTTCAGTCAGGGTGCTAGGTGTCGTGTCCGAACAGAAATCGTGTCGACGGAACCTGCTGCCGTTGCCGAAGAATCGACGTGCGAAAACGGGAGCGAGAGATAAAGAGATTCTTAGTAAATTCTTTAAGACACATACACGCGTACGAGGTGGAAGTGACAAGAGATCGAAGATTCAAGCGACTCTCTGTCTTCGAGAAGTAGTCAATGATGAGGAATCGATGAAGGATCACTGGCATGGCCACGCGACTCAGCCCCCGAAACTCGGAGGTGAACGCTCTCGAGCAGAGGGGCTATCTCATCGGCAAGAAGATCGGACAGGTTGTTCCTTTAATCTCGTGCTCTCCTTTTATACCGCTTACGCAGACTTCCTTTAACTTTTCGCTTCCGAGATGTGGAATGTGACATGGATTATATTTCTTTGCGATATTTGTGATGACGAATTGAATAAAAAAATGTTTTGCGCTTACATTTTTCTTTGCAACACAATTGCAATTAAGGATTCTACACGCTGTTATATGTGGAACTAACATTTTCAGGGCTCTTACGCGACTGTCCATCTGGCAGAGTATATCGATGGAACGAGTTCCAAGAGAATGCGTCTGGCCTGTAAGATTTTTGACAAGGAAAAAGCACCGCCCGATTTTTTGGAGAAGTTCTTCCCCCGCGAGCTCGAGATTTTAACAAAAATAGAAAATCCGCATATTATTCAAGTAAGATGTCGGAAACGCATTAGTTCATCCTTTCTTCATTGCTTTCTTTATAGGAAGAAAGAAACAACTCCAACTAAGTTTGCCTAACTATTTTTGACGCACATCATCGTTCTATTCCTAATTAAATTGCATTTATCGAATGGTTGGTCGCGCAGGTACACAGTATCCTGCAGCGCGGCTCGCGTGTCTTCATCTTCATACGCCAACAACGGCGACCTGTTAGACTTCGTCAAGAATAACGGGGTCGTGCCAGAACAGCAGTCACGACTCTGGTTTCGTCAGATGGCGTCCGGCCTGCACTATTTGCACGGCAAGAACATCGCCCACCGGGATCTCAAGTGCGAGAACATACTACTCTCGCGCAAGTTCAATGTAAAAACTGGCAGACTTCGGTTTCGCCAGATTCTGCATGAATCACGAGGGCAGGCGGGTCCTCAGCCAGACGTACTGCGGCTCGGCGGCCTACGCCGCGCCGGAAGTCGTCGCCGGCACACCGTACAATCCGAAATTGGCGGACGTGTGGTCGCTCGGTATCATCCTCTTCATTATGCTGAACGGAACGATGCCGTTCGACGATGAGAATCTGCCGAAGCTTCTCAAGGATCAGATGTCGCGGAATTGGGTGTTCAGATCGCGCGTCCGAGACACGGTGTCCACGCTGGCTAAAGAATATCGTTCGGCAAATTCTCGAGCCGGACATCACCCTCAGGCTGACCCTCGAAAGAGTGTTGAGCCACGAGTGGGTGAGAGCGAGGAAGGAGAGAACGGGCTCCATTGCCGGCAGGCTTGTCCATTCAGCGCCGCCGAGTCATACGGTTACAACATTCATCGTATTATCGTATTCAAGGCTCTTGGTCTCTTGCTGTAGTTATATCGCATTTTAATGTCGGAAGCACAAAATTAAGTAAACCATTTGCCACTATATATCGAAATAAATTTTAATTTATAATATGTACTATGTTAAGTCACTTTTTTTTCGAAAATTGAGTTATTATTATCGCGAGACTCTATACTCCAATTTTTAGCCGATGTCAAACAGTTTTAAGGTTTTAGTTACAGCGCTTAAAGATTTTGACAATTTTTGTTAAGATTAATTTCTTTAAAATCTTCAGGAAATCGCAAATATCTCCCAAAATCTGCCACCAGCATCTGTCAAGGGAATAAGTACTCGAAAGTATAATCACTTACAGTCTCTGCTTAAATGGGTGCCTAAAATATTTCATTTTTACAAGAATTATAAACATAAGTATTTTATTGAGAGCACATGAAAAGCGAAACATCTCTTTAGATCCTTCTGAAAAATTATGTTTATATGATTTAACATACTCTGCTTCTGAGGTGCTGATATATTAATAACTAGAATTAATATAAATAAACTAAATAAATTTTTTCGCATGTAACTCGCATGCGATTGCATTGGCAAAATATTATTTCTGAAGAACTTTCTTTCGTGGTTGCTTTCTTTGTTAAAAAATGAATGTATAATTCAACACATGACATAATTTAAATTTTCAGCAAAACTAGAAACCTTAAATACAATTTATCAAATCATTTATCTCGATATATAGTACAGAGAAAAAATTATCTAGTATTTAGATATCTTACTATCGCTGCAGTAAGAAATCAAAAGCCTTCATATTTAATCGATAAAACATCGTAAAATCTTAATTAAATAACTATTCGATCGATATTAGTTGAAACTTTTAAAAATAAGATGAGAAGGATCTTCGTAAAAATCGCCTTAGTATAAAACTGTACAGATTCGTTTAAATTTGGATGCGCAGTTATCTTTTTTAAATTATAACAAATTCAATTATATATAATAATACATAACTCCGAATAATTATACATAACTCCGCATAAACATTATTTCCTGTAAATAACTTAATAATTTGTCACTTGTATAATTAGATGTGTAGAGGCGGTAATCTAGGCGGGTCGGATGCTGCAGGAACCGGAAATGTATCTATTGTCGCGAGGGCACTCCTTGCATTAAGAAATTTAGAAAATCACCATCAACCGTCCTCGAAAATGGTAAATAACTCGGGGAAAGATTCACAACTGCCTATCATTGTCGGATAAAGAGAAGATTCTTGAGGAGAATTGGTCAATCAAGATATACAAAATTGGAAATACAGAAGATTTCAAGCTAACAATTTCAAATAGCCATTTTCGAAGATATTTACACTTGTCTTTTATAGTATTTTTCTTAATTTTCTATTGATCGCGATCAATGGAAATTTACATAATGTTGATAATGTATTGTTGCTTATATAATAAAAACGTTCCTCATTTTGCAATTCGATGTAAATCCCTGTCTAAAGAAATATATGAAAAAAATTTTATTATATTTCATAACAATGTAAAATGTTATTCAACCATTTGTATTTATGCTAAAAAATATTTTAATATATCAAGTATATATATTTATAAATTTTTTGTTTTTAAATTGGTCTTTTATATAAGACTTTCTATATCTAAGAAAAATATGCAGAAGCTGAGCAAAATCGCTCATCCCATCAATGTGATTACTTCTTTTACTCGGTTACACCGGAATTGATGCTGAAGCGGGTACTTTGTCACTATACAGGGTGGTTATTATATATTACGTATTGAATAACTAGACATAAAAACATTTTATTTTGTACAATTTAATTAATATTATATATTTAGTTTTATTGAGATTAATACATTTGAATGCAATATGGTACTACTATTTTAGGGAAATTTCAATACTAATATTTGTTTGAATAATGGAACAATATTATTAACGTATTCTAAATGAGTTGATAGTTTGCTCTCTCGCTTTAACCATTTGCAACGCCGAATACAAATTCAATTTATGTTATTAATTGTAAGTATATCGATCAAAAGCCCTATAATATAAAGGGAAACAATATGTACATATAGTAAGTAAAAATTACAAAATACATTTAAAAGCATTTATTATATTTACAACAAGAAACGATATGCACATGTGCAGTAAGTAAAATTATTAGACACGTACTTGGTATAGATATTTGTGATATAATAACAGGTAAGTAATACGCAATACGTTTTCAGTACGTTCTTTTTTTCTTTAGAAAATATTCTTGTAATGAATAAACGAGTTATTTACATAAGTTTGATGACACCAAATGGTCTTTGTATTACAATCTATGATGTCATAATTTTTCTATTTCAAATAATTAAATCAACTATTTTTTCTAAAAATATATAGGTCCACATTCATTAATAGAATTGATAAAACTGTCGTTTTCTGTATGATGCGCTAAAACATTGTACATACTACCTACCCAGTCAGCAAAGTCTGTTCGAACAGATATTGCCAAACGTCTGCTACAAATTTTTGCAGCAGAAAGACTGCAGATTGTATACAAAATCTGTTACATCAGATGATGATAGTAGAATGTCAGCAGAAATGTACAAACCTG